CTAATGCTTGTTTTTAAAATAACTATATACAGATTGAATGTATTAGCGAAAAACCGGATGCATTGTAGGTTGGGCATTTATAGTGCAATTTTCTGTAGCTGGGCGTTTTTTTTGTTATATATATATATATATATATATATATATATATATATATATATATACTTATCAAGAAATCACATGATGCTTTGACGTACGGGATAATGTCAATAATAAATCGAAAGTAAATGAAATGCTTCGTGAATTTCATCTTGTAATTCAACAGCTCGAATGAAATTCCCCTCCCCCTCTCTCTCTCTCATTCTATCTATCTATCGATCTATCAATCAATCTATCTCAGTCAGTTCATCTATCTCTATCTATCTATCTATGTATCTATCTATCTCTCCTTATATATATATATATGCGTGTGTGTGTGTGTGCGTGTGTACGTGCATGTGTGTGTGTGTGTCTCAGTCCGTTCAACTATCTATCTATCGATCTATGTGGCTCAATCTGTTCAACTATCTATTTATTTATCTATGTATCTATCTATCAATATATATATATATATATATATATATATATATATATATATATATATATATGTATGTATGTATGTATGAATGTACGTATGTATGTATATGAGTGTAAGAGTCTCAGTCTGTTCAACTAGCTAGCTAGCTAGCTATCTATCCCAGTCTTTTCATTTATCTATCTATCTATCTATCTATCTATTCATAATATATATATATATATATATATATATATATATATATATATATATATATCTTGCAGCAAGTTATGAAAATGATAGGCCATGCTATTGACTATTAATATTGTGAAAATTGTTCAATTTTATTTTTCATAGTGTACGAATAATTTTGTCTTTTCCTATTTTGCATTTAACCTATTGTTCTGAATATTGAGATTTATATCCATTTTTTTGTGCTTATCAACATATAAAAAAACTTGGCATTAGATTTTTAAGAAATGTATAAGAACCTGAAAAATTGATGGGTGTGAATAATTTCTTTGATGACTGTCAAATATTTATATATATATATATATATATATATATATATATATATATATATATATATATATATATATGTGTATAAATATATATTTTAATTTATTGACCTGTTCAACTATATATATGCTGTCATATATATAATATATATAAAATATTTATAAATGACAAATTTATTGAGGAAAATAGGTTTCTCAAGTTTTAGTAGCTGTTATCGCTCTTTCCATTATTGATGGAAGGCGGGAGGCGGGGGGTGTTAGTCCATCCTAACCCTTTGTTTGAAGTCATATCGAATGTCAACATCTTGATTATCATTATTTACTATCGCGTTACATATGCTATCCATTTTATTTGTCGCTGCTGTTGGTAGTTTTCAAATGATGCAGCATCTCTTATTCAGTACAGTTCTTTGTGATTCTACAGTGCCAGTTCACCAATGTCCAAAGACGGATAATCATTACCAAGACCCACTGCCTTCACTCGCAGAAAGCCCCTTTTTCACTATTAATCTTAGCAAGCAGTTTTCTATATAGCCAACAGTTTCGATGTTTCTGATCGGTTTTGCTACTAGGCATGCCATCCATATCGTTTTTTAAATACGTATTCTAAAGTTTTCAAATAATTATAAAGTCTCAATATGACGAGGATATTTAAGCACATGATTGGAGGTTTCTAGTCTCTTTAGTAACAATTTGGGTACATCGAGTTGATGTAATTGCTAGCAAGCTTGTCTCGCTAGAACAATTTACGAGTGAGTAGTGAACTCGATCTCACACTGGGTGCCCCATACTTTCGGCCTTGTGCCACATCTGAGCTACGCTTGAAAAATCACTAGTAGCAATTTGCGATGTTTGACAAAACGACCTCTATCACTGACTGTTCAATTTCCTTTTCTCCTTTACTAAATTTGTTATAACAGATCCATACGCCTCCATGTCTGAAGTCTTTAGTATTTACTAAATTCTACACCCTGGATTTTTATGATGGGGTCTGGACTGGTGCTATACCTACTTTCATTCTAATTCAAGATCATAATTTCTGCTTCGAAATGGTTTATCGTCAGTCCGATTTCTTGGAACTCTTTGTAGAGGAAATTGATTTTCTTTTATAAGATTATTCTTATCCCAACTATGAATACCTATGTCATCAGCATTGAGCCTTTTATAATCAGTATATTGGCCTCAGGAAGGAAAACAGGATCGATGTCTTCTATTTTTAAATTCATTAAATGATCAGTGCCTGTCTCTTCACATATGTGTTTGTAAATGCGCAGGACATAATCTAGGAAAAGAATAAATAGACATCTCATTGATGAGATTGTGATGAGGTTTGAAATATTTCTGAATTGGGATTCTCGCCAACCATGTAAGATTCTGTGGATCGATACAGTTCCTCTATTAGATCGATACATTCAGTGGGTTCCGAGCTTAGAAGGGGGGTTTCTAATGGATGAGAAGAGGAAGTTTCTATTGGTGTGGTAATATGCTGCTGTAAGGTCTACAAAGCAGGTATAAAGTTTCCTGTTAGAGAGTTAAGAAATTTCTTGGAGTTATTTGGTTCCATGTATGCCATAATTGAATTGCTTACCAGAACAAAAAAAACAAAAAAACTGGGTCGTGAGGAGTTGACTTTCATAAAAATGTCGGAGTTAACTCCTCTTTAATTGTCCAAATATTTCACTAGGGCGCGCTCTCTCTACACTATAAATACTGGGCGACTTCTCGCCTCGTTCTCTTTTTCCCTTTGCATTTCAGCGGACACATTTAAAAATGTAATCTCTCGTGGAAATCCGTGTTTTGCCCACACTTGGGAAAACGCCATGAAACAAACATACACGTACGTACGAACATTCACCAAAGAAACAGACTCTTTACGTTCACACAGAAACACATGTTAATGTCGTTGTCACTTGTAAATTTGTTGTTTAATACATATATTTGTTGACATATATATATATCGGTCTTGTTTTTCTTCTTTAAATCTTCGGTTGGACTCAATTTGAGTCCGCCATTTTCTTGTAGTTGGAGCTTCTAGCAGGAAATAAACAGCACGTGTTCCTAACCATTAACGCCCAAACCCACACGGTACTCTACAAAAAAATGAGAACCTTGTTTGCATAATGTTATTTATTCTTTCCCCATGATGGATTCAAAAGAAATATTTCTGTACGTGTGAGGATCATCAGGATTTCCTTTCTGTTTCTATAATGCATTAGTTCATAATAAACGAAACCTTTGGGTGATCCATTTCTGATTCCAGATGTCTTTCATAAAATAGAGAACACTGTTATTGTATTTGGGAAGAAAGTAAGCTAGTTTTAAAAGTTCGGCCTCAATGTAACGTTTTGCTTCATTATTCCTTACTTGTTTTTTGTTTTTTAATATCTTTCTTATTTTCCTCATCTGCAGGTTCCTTATTGTTTATCTTTGGTGACGGACTTTGATATCTGTTTTATTTCTACAGGCAGGTTTAGTTTAGTGTGCTTAAGGTTGAAATATTATTCAAAGTAATTTTTTTTAAATTTGGAAATTTCTTCTGTGGTGTCTTTGATTGTAAGGGATGTTCTAACGATCACTTGAAGTGTAAAATATCCATTCTATTTCTTTCTATCTATCTATTTACCTATCTATCTATCTCTCTATATATATGTATGTGTGTGTGCATATATATATATATATATATATATATATATATATATATATATGAAGAAAAATATACGGAAAAAACAAGCAAAAATCATAATATGCAATTATGCTGTTTTAATGATAAAATAATGTCAACGTTGGACGTTTCGGTCTAGTAGACCATCTTCAGGACATATTCATAAAACATAATTAACATTAGACTATATTTAAATAACAGTGCGACATTATATTAACATTAAAACAGCATAATTGCATATTTTTGTTTGTTTTTTCCGTATATTTTTCTTCATACTGTCTGATCTATATCCATATATTTTTTATATATATATATATATATATATATATGTGTGTGTGTGTGTGTGTGTGTGTGTGTGTGTGTGTGTGTGTGTGTGTGTTTGCTTATGTATAAGGACTTATCTCTGTAGGCGTGAATGTTATCAATTCATCATTGTCCTGGGAAAATGTACAACCTAGTCACCGATCAAAAGAGTTGGCTCAACAGCATCATCGTGGGTCTTGTGGCATGAAGTTTCACTTTCTTATTTGATTTCAGTGAAACATTTTTGACTTATAAAGGTGTGCAAAATAATATAGTTAATGAACGGTGACTTTCACGGCGAACATCACTGACCTTTTCCCACATTTTATATCTATGACAGATGTTATGCATTTGATTATCAATGTAATGAAATTCTTGGAAAGAAAGAAAGAAAGAAAGAAAGAAAGAAAGAAAGATATATATAGAGAGGATCAACTAGAGATGAAGAAGACAAGTATTACCAACAATAAAAAAGAAGGAATATATATATATATATATTAAGAAATGGACAAGGTCCGACAATTTATTTATTAAAGACATTTTTTATGTTTTAACGTTGTTATTTTATAGATACAAGTATTTAACAAATGCTCTGTTTTAAATAACAACGCATATCTATAAAATAAAAAATGTCTTTAATAAATAAAATTGTCGGACCTTGTCCATTAAAAATAACGTCATTTATTTACATTTGATACGCCAGAGCAGTTATGAATGTACGAGATTCATTGAAGATTGAAGTTTATAGCAGTAAATTCGACTTTGTCTACCGATAAGGTTCTTTGTAGCCCAGAGGTAAGGCACGTCAGCGTATATGATGGTTCCGTATAGGATGCAGGTTCGAATCCTGTCAAAGAACGAATATTTTCTATGAAAATTTCTGACATTCAGGCCGGTAAATGTTATTAATACTGTTTTATCATAAACAGAGCATTTGCTTAAATACTTGTATCTATAAAATAACAACGTTAAACATAAAAATGTCTTTAATAAATATATATATATATACAGAGAGAAGCAACTAGAACTAGAACTGAAGAGGACAAGTATTATCAACAATAGAAAAGAAAGAAAGAGAGAATATATATGAGAGAGAAGCAACTAGAGACGAAGAGGAAAATATTTCCCACAACAGAAAAGAAAAGAAAAAGAAAGAAAGAATGAAAGAAAGAAGAACGATTTGTAAAGAAAGATAAACTATCATAATACTGATAGTGAGAGAGTGGGTTAAAATAGCTTCAAAGTGAACAATATGGAAAGAATATTAGTATTCTGAACGAAGACAAAAAAGAAAGTGAAAGAGAAAGGCAAGACTTGAAGGTAACGAATGCAAGAGGATGATAGGCTGACATTGATAACAAAGAAGAAAAAAAAACTAAATTAAAAGAAATGACATCGAACGGAGACAGAGAAAATAATAAAAAAACAAAGAAAAGAAACTAGTAAATGACGGTGAATGATTTTAGTCTTAACGCTTTCGAACGAAGAGCAAAGGAAAGAAAAAGCAATTTCATTGAGAGAATACGTGTAATGTAATCTATGTTGACCTTGAGATCAGCGTCCTTGAGATTGTCACGTCGAGCTAACCTTTTAGTTGCGCCTGCAGTCGGCTCCAAATACAGTAGACTTCAAATAACATTTCTTTACAGTCAACTGCTGTTATATTAAGATGGCCATTGCGACAATGATTGTCAACGGTAACGAACAAAAAATGAAAAACTCTTTCGATATTTCACGTATATTTTAAAACTTGATGTAAACCTCGAGTAGGAATTAGTCTGCATTTGAGGCCGAGTTAATTTCTGTGAGGACAATTAATCCAATATGTTTATTGTTGCAGATCAACAACTGTCAATCCCACAGACATTTACATAATAAAATACGTCTACCACCTCAAAAATGGAAATCGCTAATGATGATCACTGAATTAATGATAATGCTAATGGTGATATTAGCCGTTTCCTTACAAAGAAACATTCAGGATTAATTGACCGAGCAGCCAGTGTCACTGTCGCTTAAAATTTATAAAATCTTCATATGAAAACAATTACTCCGGAAAATAACTTTCCCAATTAAAGGTTATCCCTTTTTTCCTCGTATTGATGTGATTTTCATTCCTAATCTTTTCTTTGAAGAATGTCAGCATCTTGATTATGTCATTATTTTTCTATTTTATAAGGAAGGTTACTGAATAGAATAATCACACGAAGTTTGGTAATGAACGATAATACTTAGGACAAGAACAACAAATATAAGATTCGCAAGCGGCGCGTAGAAGTAGTCAACTGCTAGAAGTGAGTCAAGTGAATTCCACAATGAATCTTCAACTGCAGGATATTTACCAACCGCCTCATACGGTCAGATGCGGCACAAGGCCGAATTTAATGTGGGGTATCCGAGCCCGAAAGCTCAGCCCAAAATTTTCCGTAGACCCGTATAAAATGGGATCTGGTAGCTGTTTTCCGAGACGATACTCTGCCCTTCCACATAACGTTGTCTGGGGATTCTTTCTGTCCAGACGCAGAGAGTTTGACCAGCATAGCTGGAGATGAATCTCTAACTGCAGACCAACATACAGTATTTACTACTGTATTTATGTGAATGGGGGCATACCTATTATCGTCCGTAGGTATGCTACAACAATGTGCTATCCATTTCAGTTGTTGCTGATGTTGAATTCTGTTATTTGGTACATATCTTTGTTTGGGATTCTATAGCGTTGAAATTTATAAAATCTTTCTTTTAAAACATATTTTCAAGAAAATAGGTTTCTCAAGTCCAATAGCTGTTATCGCTCTTTCCAGTATTGATGGGAGTTTCCTTCCTAACATTTCCTTTGAAGTAGTGTGGAAAGCCAACATCTTGATTATGACATTATTTTCCCTTCGTGTTACATGTAATATCTATTTTAGTTGTGATTCTCTAGCGCCAGTCCACAAAGTTCAAAAAAGTATAATCCTCGCTAAAACCGACAAGCTTCATTCACTCGAAGGTGGTTTTACATAATGTCCACTCTGTACAATGCTCAAGAGCCACTTGAGGTAGACGGTTGCAGATTATTTTTTGAATATACGCTTTTAAATAGGGCGCCGAAATGAGTCGTCAATAATGTAAATTAACTTGGTTCATCAGGGAGTTTCGGGTCTTTCAACATCATACACCCCCATCACCAAGCCGACATCAATCAGGATTGATCAAGCCTCGATTCCCCCTCCGATATCAAAAGCTAGCAGAGACTCTAGCCTTTATACTAAATTGGATGTAAGTTGACCACGTTTTCCGCACATCTGATTGGATGTTTCTAACAACCAATCCACTGCGCGGACTGAATTTTTAAATGGTCCATGGGGGACTGGCATTTTTTTATCGGGTGGATAGCAACTTCACTGGATAACCGAGAAAGTAATTTAACCTTCTTAAACTTAAATACTCTAGGTTGTTTGCCAAACAAGTTTTGGTGCCTTTTTCTAACAATTTTCGGTTTTGTTTTGTTAATTATCTACTCTAAAAATCTATAATTTAAAACTACTTTTAAACATTGTAACATTTAAATACCTATTGTAAGCAAATATAAGTAATGGGATAAAACCTTCAACCCTACTGTCACATTATTTTATATATATATATTAAACTATTTTCTAACATTATTACAGGTCAGTTATCGTTTTTAAAGACGTATTCTCAAGTTCTCAAATAATTATTTTTTATGTCTCCATAAACATGCCGTGACATATTAACTATACACAAATTATATAAACAGGTAAGCAATGATCGTTAAAACAGACATTAAATACACTATATATATATATATATATATATATATATATATATATATATATATGAAGGCGATTAAAATACAATAAACTGCGAAGTACTCGTGTAAATAGGTCAAATTACGAAAGGATTGGGGAACAGAGAAAAACGTAAGAGTCATAGTTAACCCTAAACTTGAGCAGGTTAAGATTGTGGTAATTGGAGGCCACAGTCTCTTAGGAGTCGGTGACACAAAATAGCGGTTTGTGGGAAGAAGATCTGCGTGGGAAACTTACAACTCATCAGTGGAATACAAAGGCAATGGTTCGCTACAATGTCATGGAAGTAAAGAATCGAACATTTTCCCTGGAAATGGCAATACAGTAAAACTTGCAACGTTTCGTTTGTGGAAAAGGTTTGATATAAATTAGACAAAACTTATCCAAAGGATAGTTTTTATAAATCAACATCAATATATATTTGTGAATAAAAATATTTACAGAATTTAACACAAAATAATTTTATTGTGGGTATTTGTAGCGAAAGAGAAAGTCACTTACCGAGAAAAAGTGTACATATGTTCTAATCGATATGCCGAAGACAAAATAACCAAGATAGAAACAATATCAGTCGCAGGTGTTGCCACAAATGCTTCTCGGATATGGTAATGTTGTTTACGCTCTCCGACCGTCGACCAATGAAAAAAAATTGTTCCGTCGATAAAAACGCTTGCTTTCTCGAACTGAATAAGATCGTTTATTTTTTTCTACCTCGTCCGTTGGCTTGCGTATTGGATTTCTGTTTATTACATGTACTTTTTTTATATTGGACCTGCAATTCGTGATTGCGACATTTCTTTCTGTCCTGGATCTTCGACTTTGGACTTGTGATTTGTTTATTTCGTTTGGGAATTGTTCTGCCATATCAATTTTAGAGCAGCATTCCCATTCATTGTTTTATGACCTCCTACCAACAATCCACTAACTCTTCGGTGTCTCAACGATAGAAATCACTAAGTTTTAACTCGAAAAGTTCATCAAGCCTCATTTTAAGATCAACACCGTTGTTGAAGGAAACACCCCTCAAATTTTTAGGAAAAGACCAAAAATGTTGGTAGTCTGAAAGAGATAAATCAGAAAAATATAGTGGATGTGACAGAACTTCCAAGCTGAGATCTTTAATTGCATGGTTGGTCATATTAGCGACATGGAGGCGAGTATTTGAATCAGTTGAATAATCCCACTGTATTATTTTACTGCTCCTGGATCTTCGAATTGTTTATTTCATTGTGAAATTCAGCTGCTACATCATTTTTTGAACAGCATTCTCATTCATTGATTACGAACTCCTAACAACAATCCTCTAATTATTCTTCTTCATTGATCATACGTTCATTCCATTATATTGTTATTAGTTCGTTACATAAATTCGATTGTTTTTTTTAATAATTTATTTTAATACTTACTATTTATTCATAGAGCTGATAAATCATTCAATAATGCATTTGTGGCGAAAGAAGAAGCAACTTACCGATAAAAAGGCTAAGTGTGTTCTGTACGATATGCCGAAGACAAAATGGAAACAATATCTTTCGCATAGGAGAGAAACAAAGTTTAAAGCTTTTTTTGCTACTGCATTTCAAACATCTATGACAAGTCAGGTTTAAAGACAGACGACAAGGAATCCTAGATAATTTTTGAAGGACAGATTCCTGGTACGAACATATGTAACCATTTTAAATCTGTGACAAGAAACGGGAATGGTTGTCTTCGTAAAAACATACAAATATTACATTCTATGTCAGTCCTCAAAATATATTGGGTTTGCAAAGTAGGTTTTAATAATGTGTAACCTACACTTACAATTTATATTTTGTCTATAAATTTTATATTAAAGATAAAACCGTTTCTTTTTCGCTTTTCTGTTATTATTTTAATATATAGTTATTTTTAGGAAATATCTTTGAAAAGAACGAAAAAAATATTTCTTATGTTGGGTCTCACGTGTCTCTTTCTCCCTTTCTGTTAGTTTCAATCTTTCGGTTTGGCGCAATAGCGTTTTTGATAGGTGGAGTTTAAACACGTGGTTTCGTTTTACGCGTGACTGAAATTTATGACTTATATACATCTTCTGAAAATTTACCTTTCACGACGTGTTTCTATACGATTCCTGAATGGAATGCAAATTTTAAATGTTCGCTCGTTAAAAGTGAAAACGGAATAATTTAAGTTGCATTTTCGGTATTCGATGCTGTTTTATTTCCGGAAGCGAAATTACGCCGTCCAAAAAAAGATATATATCGTTCTTTTTTTTCCCCCAATAGGGGGCGTTTGAACACGTGATTTTATCTCACATGTGACCTAATTCAGTGACATATATACATATTCTGAATCGTTCTTTGCATTATAAAAATGAAAATAGAGGTAGATGGAGGCATTTTCGTCATCTGATACGCTTTTATTTTCGGAGAACGAAAATGTATAAACAGCAAAAACTATATGTGCTCTTTATTGGGATGGTGCCCTAGCTGAGAGTTCGGTTCGCTTGCTTCAGAAGTAGAAATATTGAAGTGAAAAACTGAGAACATCCTGG